TTCTGTCCACTTTCTGTGCGACGTCGTGTGAAAACACCGGGCACAAATCCAGTTTCTGTTTAGGATTTGTGTGGATTAACAAGCAGATTTGCCCTGTGTGATAATGTCCTATGATTCTGTGACTGCTCCTTTAAAGTGGACTACAACCCAAAATGGGTTCACCACCATGCTACTGATACAGATGCCAGTTGCAACCACTGGTAGACAGAAAGAAGACAGGGAGATATTGGTAGATCTTCTTGGATTGGTTTGAGTAGATCAGCAATGGCTTCTGAGTCTAAAGCAGTGGTTCCCAGATTTTGGTCCTCCAGCTGTTTTGGACTTCAGCTCCCAGAATTCCTGATTGTTGGCCAAACTTCCAAGGGCTTCTGGGAGTGGAAGTCCAAAACAGCTGGAGGAGCAAAGTTTGGGAAACACTGGTCTAAAGGGTTTAATTAAAGGGAGAAGGCAAAATATTATTTTTTCTTGCTAAGCTGGGCTTTTGAAATCAAGAGAGCTTGCTGAGGTGGAAGGAATGGGCAGGAACAGACTCGCTCTAGTTGTTACTTGCCATTCGGTCAGTTTTGACTTATGGACACTCTTTGAACGAAAGACCTCCGAGAGGTTATATGAAGATGGAGCAAGCTTGTAGAGCAATGGATGCAAACTACAGGGAAAGAGATCCCACAAAACACTAAGAAGAGCTTCCTGATGGTAAGAGCTGTTCAGCAGTGAAAGACACTGCCTTGGAGAGTGGTGGACTCTCCTTCTTTGGAGGTTTTTAAGCAGAGGCTGATGGGATGGTTCAATTATGTTTTCCAGAATAACAGAATGGTGTTGGACTGGATGACCCTTGGTGTCCCTTCCAACTATGATTCTATCTACAGTACTATGAGGTTGTCAATAGCCCTGCTCAGGTCTTGCAAACTCAGGGCAGCTGTGGCTTCCTTGAAGTCAATCCTTCTTCCATGTGAGCTTCTTCTATTCCCAACTGCCTTTCACGTTGCCCTGCATTAACCTTTTTTCCATCACAACTTACTTTCGTAGGCTTTCATGGCCGGCATCCATAGTTTTTTGTGGGTTTTTCGGGCTGTGTGGCCATGTTCTAGAAAAGTTTCTTTCTGACGTTTCGCCAGCATCTGTGGCTGACGTCTTCAGAGAATGCTGGCATGGAAGAGAGTGGGTCTATATTCTCTGAAGATGCCAGCCACAGATGCTGGCGAAACGTCAGAAAGAAACTCTTCTAGAACATGGCCACACAGCCCGAAAAACCCACAAAAAACTACAGCTTACTTTGTTTGGATGTTGCAGAGGCTGGAATTCTGAACCAAATATGTCACCAAAACCCTTCCCCAAGAACTCGGTGTTTTCTCTGTGGCAAAAAGACCATTTCCTGACTGATGGAGAAGGGAGGTGGATTATTTTCATATATTTTCATATAGCTCAACACATAAAGACAAGCCTCCTCTGGGTGTGTGTGTGTGTGTGTGTTAGGATGATGGTATGGCTGTGTGTCCAGCTATAGAAAATGACTTGGATGCTTTTTAAAGCATTCACTAGGAGATCACAGAATCAGAGAATCCTAGAGCAAGACCACTGAATGCAACCCCCCCCCCTTTGTGCAAGATCTTCAGCTAGATCATCCCCAGCTATCCAGCCTTTTTGAAGACGTCCAGAGAATGAAACATCTCTACCTCTTGAGGCAATTGCTTCATTGTCCAACTGCACTTACTATGAAGAAGTTCCTTCCAATTGACATTTATCCTCAGCAGAGAACAAACCTTCCCTGTCTTCTCTATGACAGCCCTTGAGATATTTAAAGAGGATAGTCATGTCATCCCTCAGTCTTCTCTTCACCAAGCTGAACATGACCAGTTCCTTCAACCTCTCCTCCTAGGGTTTGTTTGTTCTTTTATACTTCTTATCATCTGAGGAAGTAGACCAAGTCTGAGCAAGCATATGCTACACCACTCTCAAAGGTGCTACAAGATCCCTTTGCATACTGATATTCCAGGCTAACATGGCTATGCTTCTGAATTCTTATCATCCTCCTAACCACGGCAGCGCATCTATATTCTTCTTAAAATGAGGTGCCCAGATCCGAACGCAGTACCTCAGATGAGGGCTGACTGGCGCAGAATGGCTATGTTGTTGGAAGTGCTGCAGTGGCCAAAAAATGGGGGATTGGACAGGAGATGCATCACAGTCACCCAGGTGCAACATGTCCCCAGGGCCAAGATCTCAGCCAGGATCCCAAAACTACGTTGTTGGGGGTAACCCAAAGGTAATCTAGTCCAATCCCCTGCCAGTGCAGTGCAATCCACAGCCAAAGTATCCCTGACAAATGAAGACCCCTGGAGCTTGGATTAAGCCCAAGGCCTACCCCGGTCCAGCGTTTTGTTCTTTCATGGTCAGCCAAATCCTACAAGAAACCTGCCAGACCAAGCTGGTCAATCTTGGGAATCTAGAGGAATGCTAAAGGAAATCCCTCAAGATTTTAAGCCTGCTTTTTCCTGCCCAAGTGCCTCTTTAAAAATGCACACATGCAAAGGCAAGTCAACCATGTTTACAGAATACGTAGTACACCTGCTTGTCAGTAAAAAAATATGGATAAACTTGTCTGACCATGGAAAGGAAGATCTGTTAGTCATACCATTGACTCAAGGCTCCCTGCTGATTTCTTTCTAGATACGTGGCGTTTTAATTCCATGAGTGCGCATAGACAAATTTTGGGTTCATTTGGACACATTGCCGCTGGGCTTATTTTACAAGCTGACTCCCTGGGCTTTGATGGTTGTTTATATACCGCATGGGTTCCTCATGTCAGACGTCTGTCATTGCAGTGCAATAACATGCAAGGCATATAAGCAATAAGGCTGCAATCCTGCACACACTTATTTATCTAATAAATAATAATAATAATAATAATAATAATAATAATAATAATAATAATAATAATAAATTTTATTTATAACCTGCCTCTCTGCATCGCAATCAAGGCGGGGAACAGCAATAATAAAAACATACATTTTAAAACATTCCTTATCCCAAATTCAACCCTCCCACCCCTTAAAACTAAATTAAACTATTTAAAAAAATAGAATTCAATAAACAGAACAATAAACAAATCTAGGAGTAAGATTCCATTGAACTAACTGAAACTTATTACTTCTCTTATCCAAATAGATACAATACACCAGTGATTCCCAAACTTTGGGCCTCCAGATGTTTTGGACTTCAGTTCCCAGAATCCCTGACTGTTGGCCAAGCTGGCAGGGAATTCTGGGAGTTGAAGTCCAAAACACCTGGAGGACTAAAGTTTGGAAATCACTGCAATACACTGTAAGCCATTGACATGTTTTAGCTTCTGTTGCATTGGTCAGCTGCCTTCAGGGTTTGGGATAAGCCAGAAAGTGGGAGTAACTTATTGGTAACCAGTTAGGAACAGCTGCAGAACCTAGAAAAGTTATTTTGGGGGATAATTTAGAATTCCTTCCACCCGGCTCTCATTGGTTTCCATTGAGCCCAATACAAATTACTCTGACTGGCAATGTGTCTTTCCAGGCGTCCAAAACCAATGCAGCTTGGCTGAGCTTGGAGAAGCGAGTTGGGAAAGAGCAACCACATCTGGCTTTACCATTTATCCTTTGGATGATCAGACTGGAACTCAAGACAGCTGGGCCAAAGCTAACAAAATGAAATTCAACACGGAGAAATGTAAGGTACTGCACTTAGGGGGGAAAAAATGAAATGCATAGATATAAGATGGGGGACACCTGGCTTAAGGAGAATACATGTGAAAGGGATCTAGGAATCCTAGTAGAGCACAAGTTGAACATGAGTCAAGAGTGTGATGCTGCAGCTAAAAAGGCCAATGCGATTTTAGGTTGCAACAATAGTAGTATAGTGTTTAGATCAAGGTCAGGTCTCTTCTGGAACACTGTGTCCAGTTCGGGATAAAAATAAACGTCTTTGTTGTTGTTGTTGTTACTATTATTATTATTACTGTATTAGGTTTGAGGGTTGGGCTAGGACACTGGGAGTTATTGTTGTTGTGTGCCTTCAAGTCATTTCTGACTTATGCCAACCCTAAGGAGAACCTATTATGGGGTTTTCATGGCAAGATTAATTCAGAGGAGATTTGCTATTGCCTTCCTCTGAGGCTGAGAGAGTGACTTGCCTAAGGTCAATCATGGCCAAGTGGGGATTCGAACCCTGGTCTCCAGAGTTATAGTCCAACACTCAAACCATTATGCCACCTGGATCCACTGGGATGCTGCTGGGTTTGTCCACTGGGAGACTTGGCTTTGAATCCTTGCTCAGCCATGGAAAGCCATTTGATAACCTTGGGCAAAGTCACACTCTCTCAGCCTCAGAGGAAGGCAAAGGCAAGCCCCATCTGAACAAATCTTGCCAAGAAAAGCCCATGTGAGAGATTTGCCTGAGGTTGGTATAAGTCAGAAACTACTTGAAGGCACACAACAACAATAACAATAACAACAACAACAACAACAACCACATATAGAGAGAGGCAGCATCCCTCATATGATTTTTACTCAGTTTTATAATGTTTTTAATGTGGTGATTTTTAAATTGGTTTTTAAAACTTTTGGGAAACATTTTTCATTTGTTATCCTGGAAGCTGCCTTGAAAAGCAGCATATAAATAAAATAAAATAAAATAAAATAAAATAAAGTAAATTATACATTAACTCATATCCTATTTGAACATTTTGCTGTTGTTGTTGATTTAGTAGTATTCTTTGTGGAACCAAAATAAATAAAAATTAAAAAAGAAAAGGAAAAGCAAGAAAAGCATGCCAGCTTCACCTTAGGGTCACCATCTGTCAGGAATGACTTGAAGACACACAACAAGGACAAACTTTGGGCAGCTCCTTTGGAGTTTGGACTAGAACCCAGGACAGGTCTGGCCCCTCCAGGATCAGAGGCTGTAGCCCCTTTCCCCCCAGCCTGCTCCTCTGCTTCTCCAGCAATTCTAGTGGAGGAACTGGATCCCTTTGGAGTTCAGACTAGAATCACAGGATCATAGAATCCTAGAGTTGGAAGAGACCCCAAAGGACATCCAGTCCAACTCCCTACTGCCATGCAGGAACTCACAATCAAAGCATCCCTGATAGATGGCCATCCAGCCCCTATTTAAAGACTAGAACCCAGCCACCTCCTCTACATATCCCACAACCCTAGTGGGGGAACTGGATCCCTTTGGAGTTCGGACAAGAACCTGGGACAGATCCACAGTGAGATCCCCTTTCCCCAGGCTGCTTCTCCAGGAACCCAAGTGAGGGGACCCTATGGAGTTCGGACGAGAACCCGGGACAGATCCACACTCTCCAGGGTCAAAGGCACTAGCCTCTTTCCCCAACCATCTTCTCTGCTTCTCTAGCAACCCAAGCAGGGAGTCCAGACCCCTTTGGACTCAGAGTTGTTCGGACTAGAAGAACCCAGCACAGATCCCCTCCCTCCCGGAATAGAGGTGCTACTGCCCCTTTCCCCACCCCCCAATAACCCTGGTGGGGGATTTGGATCCCTTCGGAGTTCGGACTAGAACCCAGCACAGATCTCCCCCCCTCATCCAGGATCACAGGCACTATCTCCCCTTTTCCCACCCAATTCTTCTGCTTCTCCAACAACCCTAGTGGGAGACCCAGATCCCTTTGGAGTTGGGATGAGAACTCGGGACAGATCCATGGAGAAAAGTGCTTGCTTGCCCCTTTCCCCAGCCCCCTCCTCTGCCTTTCCAGCAACTCTAGCAGGAGAATTGCATCCCTTCAGAGTTCGGACTAGAACACTGCACAGATTTACCCCTTTCAAGAATCAGAAGCGCTAGCTCCTTACCCCAGCTTCTCCCCCAGGAGATATGATAGCCTTGTTTAAGTATTTGAAGGGGTGTCATACTGAAGATGGAACAAGCTTGTTTTCTGCTGCTCCAGAGAACAGGACCCAGAACAATGGATGGAAGCTCCAGGAAAAGAGATTCCACCTCAACATTAGGAGGAATGTCCTGACAGTGAGAGATGTTTGACAGTGGAAGACGCTGCTGCCTTGGAGACAGTGGTGGAGTCTCCTTGTTTGGAGCTTTTAAAACAGAGGCTGGATGGCCATCTCTCGGGGGTGCTTTGATTGAGAGTTCCTGCATGGCAGGGGAGTTGGATTGGATGGCCCTTAGGGTCTCTTTCAACTCTAGGATTCTATGATTCCATGCAGCCTAGAATCGTATTGGTCTTTTTAGCTGCTGCATCACAACGAGGACAAACTTTGGGCAGCTCCTTTGGAGTTTGGACTAGAACCCAGGCCAGGTCTGGCCCCTCCAGGTTCAGAGGCTGTAGCCCCTTTCCCCCCAGCCCACTCCTCTGCTTCTCCATCAATTCTAGTGGAGGAACTGGATCCCTTTGAAGTTCAGACTAGAATCACAGGATCATAGAATCCTAGAGTTGGAAGAGACCCCAAAGGACATCCAGTCCAACTCCCTACTGCCATGCAGGAACTCAAAATCAAAGCATCCCTCATAGTGGTTGACTCATAGTGGTAGAAATCAAAGATATAGCGGTGTTAGTCTGTAGAATCAGTATGTAGAGAGATCTTGTCACACCTTTG